CATCCGGCCGTCACGCGCGATGTCGCGCATAGCTCCTGGGGCGGGGAGGAGGAAGCTGGGGAGGTTGGCGCGGTGACAATATGCGATCGCGGCTGTGCGGCGGCTGATGGGAAATGTAGTTTTCTCCTACTGCTTCTTCTCCAGCGTCAGCAGACGTGAAGAAGCTTATGAACAGGCCCAATGACGTATAGCAGCAACCATCTCAAACGCACGTTCGGTTTTTTCCCCTGGGGAAAGACGTTCATTTGTTTTGCACTCCCGTGTTTTATACTGAACTGCATGTGTCTGTAGTTCCGTTACCCCGTTCTCTGTACATGTCCACATATACACAGTCACCCATTATATAACATTGAGAGTAGCCATTCACCTTGTGCCATATGCTATCTCTCCTCACCCTCAACTTTTGCAGGTCCATCACTCCGACCAGATGATATTTGCACGCACCAAAGGAATAGCCACTTACACCTTTATCCTGCAATAAGCTTCAATCAGGCCCCAACCAGGGAACATCTTTAAAATCAATGAGGTACTAGACAGCTTCAGGGTTCTGCCAATGAGTTCAGGGTTCTGCCCTGATCCTGCACACAACAAACGGATTCCTTATAGCCATGTGAGGATCTACCAGCACATCATTGCATGAAATTAAGAGGCCACATAGGTGGATCCCTTTGCAAAGCTGAGGCATAAAGTCCATAAACTGCTCATTTCACTCTCAGAAATGGATCCATAGAAGATTCCTTTGAAAACATGGTTTTTAGGGTTGACCCAGTATGAACAGTTTAGAGACAATTAATATGATCAGCTTTTGTTAGTAAACTTATTGTCCCAAGAGTCATCAAAAAACCTAAGCCTCCAAATATATGGGCCCAGGTTCACCATTTGTGTAACTGTAGTCAAAGCTATATTCAGTAAGCTAGATGCATTTATTTCTGGAATGGACTATATTGACCTTAAGACCCAATAGCTGCAGCAGCTTCAATAAACTAACAAAGGTCTGTCAAGTTGCACTCTTAAAAATGTAATTTTAAAGTAGACAATTAGAAGAATTTCACAAAGTGTAGAAGGATTTTGCTCTGTATTTCAAACAGATTTTTTTTTTAAAAAACTTTAAAAACAAGCTTTTTTTAAAAAAGTTTTTGGTCATATCCCTTTACAATTATCACAGCTTGAGAGTATCTACTATCATTAAAAAACAATGACTCCCAAATTATTTTAACAGCTCATTTTTACCATTTATTTCACTATGGACATTTTTATTTATAAAATAGGCATAATTAAAAAAAAGAATCTGATTGTCTGTGCTTCTGCCTATGCATCTGTGATAGTCTAATCATATAACTTTCCACACAATTATTAGCATACCAATAGCACCAAATCACTCCCCCTGCTTTGTAAGCAAGTGGAGTAGCTTCCTAAGAGGAAATAAAGTTATGTACTTCTTGTTATCTTCGTTCCCAGTCCCACAATACCCACTCAGGCAGAGAAGGGAAAAAAGTCGGCACAGGTAAGAGAATCAACAAGGTGAACATAAGTGCTTTAAAGCTTCAGAGGGGGAGCTGAGTTAGTCTCTCCAGGATAAACTTAAAAAGCAAATAGGCTGGTAGCACTTTATAGACTAACAAAAAATGTAGATGGTATCATGAGCTTTCGTGGGCACAGCCCACTTCTTCAGATAACCAGAGTGTTGGATGTCCAGAACCAAAACTACTTCAATTATCACTTGGGTCCTCTCTCTGTGAAGAAATCAACTGGTAGTTAGAGCCATTTAATTGCTTTGCTTTCAAGCCAGCTAAAGTATTTATCCTGCAAGAGGGTTTACAGCGGTGGTCCCCAACCTTTTGGGGCTGCCAGGCGCCTGGAGCTCAAGAATGGCTCGGGCTGGCCCTGGTCACTAGGCCGGTGCACATAAATGCCATGGTGCCCGCAGGCACTGCATTGGGGACCACTGGTTTACAGAAACTGATACCTATGTACAGCAAAAGTCAACAGAACTAGGAATTAAGTCCCTTACAGCCTCAGTTGGAGTCAGGACACTTATTTTTAAGTCATTTTGTTTCTAAGAAATTCTTGACTTAATTTTCCAGAACTGGATTTAAAAGTTTACAGTATTTGGGAGTCTCTTCTCTACTTCATCCTTGAAATTTTTCCTCTTCTGACAAATGATTGCCAAATTTGTGTAGGACTATGTACACAGAAGATGCTTATCCACATGGTTTAATTTTGACTAATTCTTCATGCTTATCTTGTTTTAAAGAGACAGTAGTATAATCACTTAAGATAAAGACCTTAACTTGTTATAAGAGTATTTTTTAACATCCTCAGAGCAGCAGGGTAGGGATCTACTTTTAGAAAATTCTGTAGTATTTTCTTCAAAATGTCAGCACTATTTGACTAAGCATTACTCCTCAGCAATGCCCTGCTAAGAGTGTTCATACTCCACATAGTCACCAGAAACCATTAAGTGAACTACATTCATTATTTACATGAATAAGTAGCTTGCAGGATCTGGTGCACAGAATGAATTGCAGCATTGGACACACTAAAAGCTCAAAGAAACCCCACATCTTAATGATGGAAGTTATAATCCAAAGCAAATCTGTTTTATTATTTTTTTCTGATAAACTCTTCTCATGGCACTTTGAATGGAAGCTGTGTCTGCATCCTTGAAAAGGAAAGCAGTGGGGGAGGGGTCAGGAGGAAAGTGCGAAAGGAGGTGGGAAATGGAGTAAGCATGTTAAATGGGTATCTGCAAATATTTCTTAAATAAGGAAAGAGTTCTGTCCCACCTTTTCACCCAATGAGATACTACAAACACAGACAAACTATTTTAAGAGATGGAAAACTGTTGTTGGGGGACAAAAAATAAGCATGCTGCATGTTAGCCCATAGGGTAAATTCCTTCTTTCACCCTAACTTAAATACCCTGTACACCAAAAAATAGATAGGAACACAAATAGAAAGTGGATCTTTAATTTTGTCTCCTCAACTTGGGAGCAGGAGCAAGAGAAGATCTCCATAGTGAAA